ATTTATTGAGTTTTACTATAAGCCTGACATTTTGACAAGGGTATTATATTGTATTAAAGCAATTTGTAGCATTAATCTGTAAAACATTTTTTTATGAATTTGCATCTTATAATGCTGAAGTAGTCCTATGATTTGTTTTTATTGTTTGAGAGAAAGAATGTAAGCAGCACCTTTCTTTTTCTCCGTAGTGTTTGGGAAAGCAATCCAAGCTCTATCACGAATTAGTGATGAGCTGTGGCTAGACCCATCTGAAAAAGGTGTAAGTAAGAAAGTTAACTAATAGATCATCTTTTAAGGCAAAAGAAGTTTAAAGATCTCAGTCTAGATCGAATGTTAACTAGGAAATCGGGAATTGTAATTACTCCTTTCACTGTTCATTTATATCTGAATACATTTAGAGCATAGTGAATTTAAAAATCATGCAGATAAGCCAGTTGATTTAAACCAGAAGTCACAGACTGGTAGTCAAAAGGCTAGATGTGGCTTGCAGAAGTGTTTTGTGGGGACTGCACAATGTTTTTTAAAAAATTGACCTAAATTTCTAACCTTTAAAAGTTGGGAAAGTCCACATAAAAATCTGAATTTCCTGCTTCTCTTGAAAACTCAGAAGATTTGACAGTTTGGGGCCTGCATTCCCTAGTGGGAGTAGTTGGCTGACACTGACTCAAGGCTTCTCCCTTTAGCCAAGACAAGAGATCACCATTTTGCCGCGATCTTTTTTACTCTCTTATATTGCCTTCTGCCACATTGTGCATTAAAGTTAAGCCCCCTGTAGGCATTTATAATTTTACAATTTCAACAAGCAAGATTTTAGATTTAATGCCTATATGTATTCAGTACAGATATGTACACAGAGGTGTATGCATATGCAAATTCAATTCACACTATAAAGCAGTCCATATTATATAAAATTCACATGTATAATATAGCCATATAATGCAGTTAATATCCTATAGCCTTATTTGAATATATTTAATTGTAATTTTAAACTAAATAGAAAATTTTTAATCAATCATTTAAAGAAACTTGATTTTTTACCTAAATAGCTATTATTTTATTTTTCTAGCTTGCTTTAAGATCTGTGAATTCATGCCGGTCAGCATATGGATGTGTTCTCTTCTCTCCTGTGTTTTTCCAACATTATCAATGGTCAACCTCAGTGGAAATGAATGAGAATGACACATTATCAAATTTAAATTGCAAATTGGGAATGAAGGTAAATATGAATGGCCCTGATTTTCTATTATATACGTAGAAATATTCAGTATATAGGACCTAACATCTATGCTGTACTTAATACTTGATTTAAATGGTGTGCAGGACAAATCTATTCATTTATGAATATACATACTCTTGTTAGTTTTTTTTTAAACTAATCATCCATATTAAGTATGTGCCATTCTATAATGTATTTGTGTTACAGTCGATTCTGCCCATCTTTAGATGTCTGAATTCCCTCGAAAGAAATGTAGAGAAGTGCACAATATTCACCAGATCTGATAAGTGCAAAGTGGTTATTCGGTTCTTCTGCAGACATGGTAGGTATAAATCAAACTAGTTTAATGTATTGTGGTTTTTGTTAGTATTTTTCATGTTTAGAATATTCAAACTATGTCAAAAGTTTCCATTGCATTATTGCTTCGAATTTGTGTAGTTTTGTGGTAGAGCAGTTCTAAGTACTTGAAAAATATGATCTTACTTGTGTCTATAGGAGTACTGTGAGATGATTGATATTATTTCATTTTTTACTTGTCAGTGGCACAAGCTTTGCCTGCAACACAAACCACTTTCTTCTTTTTTATTTCTTTTTTTTCTTTGTTTCTTTTTCTTTTTTGTTTTCTTTTTTGTTGTTGTTGTCAAACCAATTCTTAAAATGTCCATTCGAATTCAAACACTCGGTTGTTCTAAAATGAAATGGCTGCTGATGACATTCTGTGGGAGTGCCTTGATTAACAGTGATCCTTGGTAAGAACAGAAAAGAATAATGCCTACCTGTATTTAAAGTTCTCTAGGAGGCAGACAGTATTATATCTGGGGCTGAAAGAAGCGTGGTAACTGGCCCAAGGTCACAGAACTAGTAAGTCGCAGAACCTGTAGTTGAGCCTAGCTGCACAATACTAGGAGCCCAAACCTTCATTCATTCTCTCTGCCACACCAAGCTGTATAACAGATTTCCTGTCTCCCAGCCTTGCTTGGTTGATATTCAAATGTCGTACTCGTAGGACTTTTACATGCTGAAATATGTATAGCATGGTAATTAACAACATCAAGGGCAAAGGTCTGGGGTGGAATCTTGCTCTGCCTCTTCCTTGCTAAGACCTTGGGCAAATTATTTTTCAACTCTGTGCCTCAGTTTTCCAAGAGGTAGATTAGGGATAATGTTAGTACCAGGCCCTCGGGTTTTTGTGAGGATTCAATGAGTTGTAGGAAGTTATAGTTCTAAAGTGTTTAAAAGATTGCCTGACACATTCTCCAAGTATTAGCTCTAGTATATTTATTATGATTGCTGCTATTTTATTTCAAAGTTAGCAGGTAGAATTGTATGCTTTGAAAAAACTTGTAGTTTTGATATTGGTCCAAATCTTTTTTTTGTAGTAGAATGGCCTTCTGGAAGGTTGTCTTAGTGTTACCATTTATCTCATATTTCTTAATTTTGCCTTATGTTTATCGTAATATTTTTATTTTAGCTCATAACTATATTCTTTAATTTTTTTTCTGAAAAATATCATTGATTTAACATTATTTTTCCCCCTCTTTGACCTTCAGTTCATATAATAGCAGAATCATGTAAAGAGCATGATTAAAAGCACAGTGAGCCTTGACATCACAGATTTGGGTATGGATTCTTCTCCACTTGCTAGCTTTGCGTCAGTACATAAGCTCTCAGACCTTCACTTTCTTTTCCATAAAATGGGGATAATCTTAACCCTCACATTCCAGGATCGTTGTGAGGATGAAGTGAGATCACTGTCTGTTCTTTGGTGTCTTTTGAATTTCATGCCATGTGCACCTATTACCTATCCCTCCAAAAGTAACTTGAAAATATTTTTTAAATAGGTAAGATATGCCAACTTTTGAGCTTTGTGTCTCCCTATAAGAGCAGCCACACTAATCATTTGAAAATAGGTCAGATTATATCAGTCTAGTCCTCAGAACTCTCAAAAAGCTCCCCACTTTACCCAGAGTAAAAGCCAGAGGCCTTACAGTGGCTGTGATCTGGACACTCAGGTGTGCCCCCTCCTCAGGCCCTGTGGCCCCACCCCCTCTGCCTAGCAGGCTCTTCCTTCAGATACTACATGGCTGTTTCACCTCCTCCAGGTCTGCTCCCAAGGCATCTCCTGCATGAGGTCTTTCTTGACCTCCTCATTTAAAATTGCCGCCTATCTCCACTGGCACTGCCTAGTGTCCTTTCTGCTTTCTTTTTTTCCTGTGGCGCTTATTACTATGTGACATGCCTGTTGTTTCACTTACTTGTTTTCTTATTGTCTCTCTCCCCTACTAGACCATAAGCTCTGTAAGGATAGAGATTTTTGTCCCATTTGTTCTTGGCTAGTTCACAGCTCCTAAAATAGTCCCTGTATGGTAGATTACCGAAAAAATACTCATAAATTATTTGCAGTCCCTCCCTTCTAAAGCCGGAATCTGTTTCCCTAGTTGAAATCTCAGCTGGCTTTGGACTTGCTTCGATATCAATAGAATGCTCTAGAAATGATATTGTGCGCGTTCCAAGCCTAGGCCTCAAGAGGTCTGTCAGCTTCCACCATTAAACTAAGAACCTTTCAATTGGCATGAGAACAAGCACAGCACAGTGTAGACTCCTGGAAGATTAGAGACCATATGGTGAGAGGCCTCAGCCATCCCAGCCTTCCTACTTGTCCCGGCTGACGCCCCAGACATGAAAGAGGCCATCTCAGATGAATCCAGCCACAGCTAAGCCCGCCTAAACCAGAATAATCACTCAACTGAATTGTGAGAAATAACAGATGTTTGTTATTTCGAGCCACTAGATTTTTGGACTGGTTTATTATCCAGCAAAAGCTAACTGATATAGCCTTGTACATAGTAGGTGCTCAGTAAATATTTATGAAATTCATAAATGTAGCTGTTAACACGTTAGTAAAAAATAAATAAGTTGGGAAATCTTGTTTCTAGTGAGACCTTTTGATTCATACTGCAACATTGTTATGCTGTAGAGAGTTATAGCCCCCCCCGCCCCGGATTTTATTACATGGGCTCTATATTCAAACTTAGATTCAAATTCTAGCTATACAGTAAGTCCCCACTTAACGTTGTTTAGTGATGTATAACAAAACCAACTTTACAATAGGCTAATTGATACAAACGAGTTTTAAGTTCCTTCTTGATCTCAGCAACATTATAATGAAATAATTTTGAATGAAATGTTATTTGAGAACCTGCCATATTCATCAAAACAGCATAGCCTTGAAAAGCCATTTAGCCTCACCGAGCTATAGTTTCCTCTTCTGAGATTAAGTACCTGCTCCACAGGGATATTGTGAGGATCAGAGGCAATGTGTGTAAAATATGTACCTTAGTTCCTGGCACATAGGACTGTAGCCATTATTGCTACACACTCTTCTCAGAGGCAAAGAATTCACAGACCAGATGTTCAGGTTTATATTCCAAAAGTCCCATTCAGAAATATCAGTCCTGGATGACAGATACTGAAAGAGAATCATAGATATCTGATCCATAGTGGGCAATCACTATTTTACACACACTTAAGAAATTATCTGTATTTCAAAAGAATGTGGGAACTCTTATTGCCTCGTGGGTTAGATGGTCTGGCATGTTGCTTGGTGTCCACTAGGGAGCGATAAACACATTCATTAAGGAATAGTGCTTCTCTATGCTGCGTGCACCTGCCAGATAGCAAATATTACTTTATTATTTAAATTTGTCTGTGAAACTTAAAGATTTTTTTTAATCTGTTAATTTTGCACTTAAAATTATTAATAGGTTGCTTTATTTTTTTAAGGTGTTAAAAGGACTCATAATGTATGTTTTCAAGAAAGTCAACCTTTGCAAGTTGTTTTTGAAAAGAATATGTGTACTAATACACTAATGATTCAACCAAGGTATGGAGTTCTCTGTTGTTTATTTTTCTTTCACCGAATATAGTATCGTGAAAGAGTAAAGACTGAATGTCCTGGAGCTTTTATGTCAGTTACTTTTTTTTTTAAAGCTAATACTGGATTTGGAGAAATCACCTTATAGGATCAAGAAGAAACCATGAGGAAGATAATAGTAGATAATAACTGCCTAATGATAGCAATAATAATTTAGTGGCCAAGAAAATTCTAAATATATCCCATCAGTGGCTTTCTACATAGTGATATGAAGAGAAAAATATATTATCTAATAATACTTTGCATTTATATGGTGCCTTTTGTCTGAGTCTTTAAAACACACAGCATGAGGAAATTTTAACGTTTTTGATGTGAACTGATTTTATCCCTAAGTGTTTCCATTTTTTTCTCTAGAGAATGAGTAAGGCTATTTGTCAGTGAGAGTGTACTCAATTTTTCAGTTAAGCTATAGCGTTAAACATTAAACATTAATTACTTTGTGAGCCAAAAGATATTTTGTCCTCGTTGTTTTTAAATACATGCTCCTTGAAATACAACTAAAATTTATAGAAGAGTGCAAAGATTAAATAATGAATCTTTCTCCTCTACCTGCTTCCTATGTCCCAATTGGCAGGGATAACATATATTGATAATTGGTGTATATAAATCTAGCTCTTATCCTGTTTATAGCTATATTTGCTAAATTTGTAACCAGTCTCTCTGTAACTCTCCCTCTCCCTGTAGTTATGGTTATCATTTTTTTTCTCCCCTCCTCTCAAATTTATATCACGTACTAGGCAAATACATGTTTTTTTTTTCAAAGAAAATGTCCCACTATTATTATTGTTTGGCAACTTTTTTAAGTTTCTATGTCAGTTCACTTAAATCATTCTTATTCTTTTTAATGGCTGCATGATTTTGCATTGTATGACTGAATGGCAATTTACTTACCACCCTGCAGTAGTCCTTTATCCACAGGACTGTGTTCCAAGACTATGTTCCATGAATGCCTGAAACTGCGGATCGTACCAAATCCTATATGTACTGTTTTTTCCTATATATACATACCTATGATAAAGTTTAATTTATAAATTAGGCACAGTAAAAGATGAACAATAATAACTAATAATAAAATAGAACAATTATAACAATATACTATAACGAAAGTTATGTGAGTGTGGTCAGTTGTACAGGCCCTAAGTCTTCGTATAGGCTAAAAGCTTTCTGCCAAAAGTCAGAACGCGTTTTCTGTTCATGTCTTCCACCCACAAATTTAATGCCTTTTCCATCTTAACTAAGTACGTAGCACACGCTGTGGCCATAACTTTTGCAGTTTGAGGTGCAGCAGATAGACTAGCATGAATTTCTTTTCCTTCTTTACAATTTCACAGCTAGATTTGTTCTTACTGTAGGTCTTAGCAACCTAAGCATGCAAATTTTTTCTTTCCTTATTAAGTTAAGGAGAATGTTCCCCTTTTCACCTAGCGGAAGTACTTTATAGCTTCTCTTTGCATATCTGAATTGCCAGCATCACTACTCTTACTCTTTGGGACCATTATTACATAAAATAAGTGTTACTTGAACACGGGCGCTGCAGTAACAGCGATCTGATAACCGAGATGGCTACTAAGTGACAAATGGACAGGTAGTATACACAGTGTGCACACGCTGGATGAAAGGATGATTCACATCCCGGGCAGGACAGTGCAGAATAGTGTGAGATTTCATCACACTACTCAGAATGGCATGCAGTTTAAAACTTACGAATGATTTCTGGAATTTTGCATTTAATGTTTTTGGACCACACTGACCGGGGTGTGACTAAAACCAAGGAAAGTGAAATCTTGGGTAAAATGAGAACAACTGTATTGATGAGAAAGGTTGTTTTCAACTTTTTGCCTTCACAAACAATATCGCTAGTAGTGTATTAGTATCTGTTGCTGTGGAACAAATTCCTCCAAAACGTAGAGCCTAAAAAAGCAGACATTTATTCCTTCATAGTAGTGCAACGTAGCCAGTGCTTCTGGCTCAAGGTCTCTGAGACTGAAGAGAGGTTAAAGTTAGGCCAGGGCTGCGGTCTCATCTGAAGGCGAGACTTGGGGGGAGTCACATCCGGGCTCACTGACATGAATATTGAGAGGCCTCAGACGATGGGCTTCCAAGCTCACTCATGTGGTTACTGGTAGACCTCAGTTCCTCACAAGCCTCTCTGTAGATTGCCTGATTGTCCTTAAAACATGACAGCAGGTAGTCAGAGACAGAGACAGAGACAGAGACACAGAGACCGACAGACACAGGGAAACTCTCAAGATGGAAGCCATGGTCTTTTTATAACCCAATCTCAGAATTGCCATCTTATCACCTCTGCCATTTTCTCTTTGTGAGAAGTGAATCTGTTAGTCCAGCCCGCACTCGGGGTGGTGGAGGGGATCATCTAAGGGCGTGAATCCAAGGAGGCAGGGATCATTGGAGGCCATCTTCTAGGCTGCCTAACACAGATGCAGTCGTAGAAATGAAATTGCCAGCTCAAAGGCTTACACAGATTTTAAATTTGCATACATGCTCACTAACAAATTGCTACCTGAAAAGTTTGTACCATTTACATTCCCACCAAAACTGTAGGAGAATTCTTCCAAGTAAAGGACAGGATCGATTTTTTAAAATTTTACCAATGTGATAGGTAGAAAATGGTATTATTAGATGTTCCTTATTGTTGTGTTTATTTTATTACTAAGGAGTTTGAGTATCTTTTCATCTATTTATTAGCAATTTGTATGTTCTTCCTTTTCGAATTGCACATTCACATTATTTTTTTGTATCAGGTTATTTGGTATCTAATACAACACTTCCCCATAACACTGGGAAAGCTCCCAGATGATTTGGTAGGTGTCCCTGACATTTTGGCATCAAGAAATACTGCTGAGCTAATGTCTGGCATCAAGATAACACCAACATTACATAAATTCTAAGATTCTCATTTTTATCTAACAACACCTCAATTTCAAAAGTAGCTCAAAACTTATAATGCAGTAATAAAAAGACAAATAACCTAACCAAAACAAACAAACAAACAAATAGGCAAATGATTCAAAGAGAACTTTTGCCATAGAAAATATACAAATGGCCAACAAGAGCAAGAGAAGATGCTCGACATCATTAGTCATTAGAGAAATACAAATCCAGCAACTCGAAATCTGAATTGTATGTGAATTATATCTCAATAAAGCTGTTTTTAAAAAGGGAGCGCAGGACAAAATGGTATTTGGGATGTCAAGACAACCTTGAATATAGTAGGAAATAATCCAGGACAAGCAACAAAGCAAAAGAGAATATAGGCAGCAGGTGGTAAACCTCTGCCCTTCAGCTGGCTCTCCGGCCGGGTCATCCCAGTTCTACTAGAGCAGCTCTGGTTTCTCCTCTTGCCCTTGGGTGTATGATCCCAGGCCAATAACTAAATAACATATTTGTTATATAAAAAAAGTTAAAGACATTTTATTCTAGCGTTTGGTTCGTCCTGAAGCTTTCACATGTTTTACTAAGAATATATGTTACTATTCTCTTGGCCTTTAAATGAAGTTACAATTTAAAAATATACTAAAAATATAGTAGTTCATATAGAAAAAAGGAGATAAGGTCTTTCGGGTAAATTTTTCTAAATTTAGGCCAACTAACCTATTTATTTCCCGAGTGAAGGTTTGAGTCCCATTAGAAAGCTCTTTCTTTCTGTTTGTTTTTCAAATAATGTAATATTCTTTCATGACCTTTTATAGAGTGCTTGCTGAGGCCATTGTTCTTTTTACATCGAGTCAAGAGGAAGTTACTCTTGCTGTTACTCCACTGAATGTTTGTATTAAGAGTTCTAATGAGGAATCAATGGGTAAGAATTATTTCTGTCGTGCTTTGATGGAATATTACTTTCTGGCTTTCTTTATTACTAACCATGCAGTAACTATTAGTGGAATAATAATTATTTTTGTCTAAAAAAGTGGTAAGATATAGAAAGATCATTAAAATTTTTAAGAAATCCAGGAAATTTAACACATTCAGTAGTGAAATACTTGGCTTTAAAATTCTGGTTATTTTAAAATTAGAAAAATGGTTACTAAGAAAAATATTTTTCTACTTAAGATTTTAAGGTCCATTTCTCATCCTTTATTATACTTTGTGTTTAGCATAAAGAAAAATTAAGAGGCCAGCAATCCGATTGAGGTGATCTTTGACTACATAAGTAGAAAAAATAAATTCTAATTAGATATTCCAGTTGGCAAACATATAGGACAGAAAATGTGAATACTTCTTAAGTCAGCTCTTCCAAGAGTTTATCTAGATGAACTGGAGAAACTAAGGCATGATTAAATCAGGAGTTTTGGTGTCAAGAAATTTACTTGGGTCTCTTTGGCACAAGTTGTTTGAGACCCTTCAACCCTGGGTAATTTACTTGGTGATAGCAGTAAAGAAAGAATACAGAGGGAGGAACTGTATTATTTTAAAGTGAAAAAAAAAACAATAGAACCAGGACTTAAGTTGGGTCAGATGACTTTTGTAGTAGTTAGTTTGCCAGATTCTGATTCAAATGGTTTACATTTCTTTTTTTAAAAAAATTCATTAAAATTTTTAATTGAAGATATGATTTAAATTTTTTCTTTTTTTTTTCTCTATCCCCACCCCGTCTACCTCCCCGCAAATGGTTCACATTTCTGACTTCATTTGATTTTCATAGCAACTCTATGATGTAGGTACTAATATTATTCCCATTTCCATATGAAGAATATGAAGCACAGAGAAACTAAGTGACTTGCCTGGTGTCACACAGTAACTGGTGGATTATGATCTGAGTACAGATGGTTAAGCTCCAGGGCTCAGGCTCATTACCACAGTGCTATTATTGCTTCTCTCAGGTCTCAGCTACCATTCTTTTTTGGGCCTTAGGAATGCATGATCTGGAAAATATGTGCTTGGCTAGTGAAAGGGTCTGTTTTATATTCCATAATGCCTCCTCTGAATTAAGATAGCTGTTAATAACCGGCAGATACTGTCCCTCGTGAGCTTTCTAATGAGTAGTTATAGTCATGGTTGACTGGGGACCCAAATGTTTAATATTACTATTGAACTTACTCTATGCTAGTACCCTAGGAGTGATATGAACCTTCTTATTTGAAATTAATGTATTTGTAAGGTTTTGCTTGGTCCTTTAAAAAATATATACCATTATCTTTTTTTCTTATGCTTGCGTAATTCATGTTCATTGAAGGAAATAAAAAACACAAAAAAGCACTAATAAAAAAGTCACCTGAAGTCTCACTACCCAGAGACAAGAACTTTTAATATCTCCTTCTGTACTTCAGCTCTAATAACAAGAGATTGATTGATTGAAAGAAATGTGATGCTATTAAGCTATTAAAAGTAATCTTGAATGGATTAAGAGGTACAAATGGTTAGTTGCAGAATAGACATGGACATGTAGGGTGTGGCATGGGGAAGAGGGTTAATGTAATAAATATGTAAGGAGGAAGAGGGGTACTAGATTTAGTGGGGTGATCGCTTTGCAGATCTCTGATCACTGCTGTATAACTGAAACTGATATGCCAACTATAATCGGAAAAAACCTCTCTGAATTGTACAATGTAAATATTAGCAACTAATCGTCTATTATGTTTCAATAAAGCTGGAGGGAAAAAAGGTGCTCATATAGCTAATTGTTTAAGAAATGCAAATCAAAACCACAATAAAATCTTACTTCACCTCCCCCCAAAAGTAATCTTTTATATACACTTCTTTCTCTCTGAGGGTTTATATCAAAGATATGTATTGAAGCTAATTTTGTAGTGGAAAACAATACAGTGACACACACGAATAAGTAGAAAAATGTACTTATTGACATAAAAAAATAGGATATGTTATTAAATAGATTATGAAATGGTATGCACAGTATGACCATATTTTTATTTTTTAAAAAATATACCTAAAAGTTGAATAAAATGTTATGAAACAAAATTCAACACCTCATTAAGGAAATTATACATCATGACGTGAGATTTATTCCAGAAATGCAGTGTTGGTTCGGAATGAGAAAATCCAGTAACATAAAACATTATATCCACAGATGCTAAGAGAGTCTTTAACAAACGTGGCTTCCACCTCATAGTCCACACATTCATAGCAGCATTGTTAGTGATAACCACAGAGTGGGAACTACTCAAGTCATCAACTTGAAATTGTTTATACAACATGTGGTATATCCATACGTGGACCGTTATTTAGCTCTAAAAAGAAATGAAGTACTGACACATGCTATAGCATGGGTGATCTTGGAAGACATATACTAAGTAAAAGAAGCCAGACACAAAAGGCTATGTATTTTATAATTCCACTTATTTAAATATCCAGAATTGGTAAATCCATGGAGACAGAAAGTAAATTAGTCATTTCTAGGGGCTGGGAGGTTGGGGGAATGGGGAGTGATTGGTAATGGGTGTAAGGTTTCTTTCTGAGATGGTCAGAATGTTCTGAAATTAGTGGTGGTGGTTGTATCACCTTATGAACACACTAAAAACCACTGAATTCTACACTTTAAAATGGTGAATGTTATAGTATGTGAATTATATCTCATAAGATTTTAAAATTTACTTTTTACACCCGGTTTTCCAATTTTGTATGTTACATGTATATTATCTGTTAATCCCTTTTTCGTTCATACTTATTGAAACAAGATGGGATACGATGAAATAAAATATAATTGTTATATGTAAACTATATTCATAAATAATAGTTTCTTTTAGAATAAACTAGTTTTTATGGTATTCTGATTATTTAAATGCTCATAACAAGTCACTCCACAATATAGTGACTTAAAATAATTTATTCTTATCTCTCGTGGTTCTGTGGGTTCACAGGGCTCAGCTGGGCACTTCTCACTTGGGGTCTCTTCATGCAGTTGCAGTTAGTGGCAGGGTCTGGAATCATCTGAAAATACCCAAGACGGCACACTGATGTGGCTGGTAATTGATGCTGGGAGCTCAGCTGGACTGTCAGCCAGATGCCTGCACACATGTGGCTACTTCATTAACCTGGACTTCATATGGCATGAAGGCAGCATGGTGGCTGAGTTCCAAGAGGGGGCATTGCAGGATAGAGGAAGTGGCTAGAGGATAGAGGAAGTGGAGGCCCTTAGTCTCCTAAGTCCTGAGCCCAGAAACCAGCACCAGGTCACTTCTCCATATCCTATTGGTCAAAGCAGCCAGATAGCCCGCCCACCCAGACTCTAGGGGAGGGGCAGAGACATAGACTCCACCTCTCAATCAAGAAATGTCAAAGAATTTGTGGCTATTTTTAACTTATCATTTCACTTATATTTTTGGTCAAATTTAACAAATATCTGTGGAACTAATTTTATTCTTTATTATCTTATAATATTGAACAGATATGACCAATTCTGTATACAGTGAGATGTTTGTGGGCCCAGATGAGTTTGATTTCTTTCAAATTGGAGTTGACAGTGAAATAACGTTTTGCTTCAAAGAATTAAAGGTAAACAAAAATTTGTATCAAATTAAATTTTCACTGGTAGTTTTTAGTAAAGATTTCATGTTTCCTTTTTTTCCTTTTCCTTGTAGGGAGTGCTGATATTTTCAGAAGCTACACACGCTCCTATATCCATTCATTTCGATATTCCTGGCAAGTAGGTCCTTGGAAACTTTTCTGTTTCTTTTTCTTTTGTTAGGTATTAATAATTAAACTTTGGATCACTTTGAAATTAATACACACCTCACAAATTCTTTAACCTTATTAGCAACACTTACCGAACTAAAAATTTGAAAGATGCCATAAAATGGCATTTTTAAATTAGTAACTTGGTGGAGAAAGATATATGTTTCTGCAGGGTGAAAAGACTTATAAATTTGACAGGGTGCTGAATAAATTGTCTAATTAGGAAATTATACATGGCTTAAACAAGTTAAATGTCTGTGAAACAATATTTTATACGATATTGTGGAACTAAAATTTCAGATGATACTGGGTTAGGATAGATGAGTTTTATGGAATTGGATCTGATGATTTCCAAGAGCCCTTTCAGCTCTTAGGACTGTGTTAATTTGTGAAAAGACAAAAAGGACTTCTACTGTTACTGTTTCTTTTTAGCCCTCAATTAGCTGTCGTTTTCTAACGTTTTCTCAATGTCCATCAGAAAATGAGTGTGATGTTTGCTCTGACTTTGCCTTTTTTAGACCTATGGCATTAAGTATTGATGACATGTTATTGGAAGCTAACTTTATTTTGGCCACATTAGCTGATGAACCAAGTAGTGGATCTTCTCCACAATCACTGTGCCTTTCACAAAAACGAAAAAGGTAAGGCCACGTTTTAATGTCTTCATTGGTTGGGTAAAAGCCATCACAATCTTATTCTGAAATAATTCACTAGTGTTTGTTCAAGAAACAATTGAGGAGTAAAACATTAGAAGATGAAAAATTTTGACTGAATCAGAAAGAGCTATAGGAAGACCTAACTGTAACAGAAATATCACCAATCTTGCACTAGATATTTGCATTTTCTCTTCTGATCAGAATTTAACAGGACTGTTTGGTTTATCTTTGTTATTACCCAAAACTCAATTCCATTTGTAATAGTTGTTTTTTAGGACTGATATAGTCTTAAAGTTCACAGCGAAGTCTACATTTACTGCCTAGAATTCTCCTTCCCAGACATTGGGACCACCATTGTTTTTCTTCCTCTTTTTCCTTTTGTCTCTTTCTTTTGGTGGTGGTAGAGGTGCTTCAACTGTAAAAGCAACAAAGTTTCTATGGGAAATTTGGAAAATACAGAAGAGTACAAAGGAGAAAATCAGTATCATCCGCCGCATAGAGACATGCACTGTTAACATTTGGCTCACTGTATTTTCTTTCGGACTTTTCATTTTGCATATGCTTGTATTTTAAAATAAGATCAGGGTCATAAAGCATATGTAGTTTTGTAGCCTGTTTTTTCCCCACGAAGTATTACATTGTGAACATGTTCTAGTATCACTGATTATGGCCTGGAAATATGATTCTTAATGACTGTATAAAGTTTTATCATACAAATGTATAGTAATTTACTTGACTTTTTCCTAATTTGGCCCTGTTACCATATCGTGAGATTGTCTAATGCACACTGGTTGCTTTACTGAAAAATTCAAATCTGTCAAGAGAAATTTCTAAATAATCATATATGTAAATCTTAATTTTCAAAACAATTAGTTCCATGTTATTTCAATATATTCCCTATATCAGTGTTATAATTCTCATCCCATACTGCTTCATTAGTTATATAAAATATACATTTCAAAGTAAACCATTCATTCCCTTTTCCCTATTAATACCTCAGGTCAGATCTGTTATGTTCAAATTCAAAGGCTGGTGAAAAAGATAGGAAGGCCACGGAGTACATCTCAAGAAAAGCAACACCCAAAAGGCTTTATCCTAATGAGACTCTCACGACCATCTGTACGTTGGAAAACTGTGGCAGCCCTATAATGAAAAGCTTGAACAGAGATATTACTGAAGTACCAGAAAGCAGTGTCAGCAACACAGAGGAAGTACCAGGGACTCTGTCTCAGGAAGGTAAAAAGAAATGTTGAGACATGACCATGACTCAGTCAAGAATTCTTATCATCTGTCTCCCTTTGCAATCTCTCTGCCCCAGCCCACCCCCAATATCCTGAAAATTAACTTTCTTACTTTTTAAGAGGTGAGAGGCGAAGCCAGTCTGAGATGGAGAAAAGACTGATTTATAGAATGTCAATACAAAAATCACTTTGTAAGGGATAAAAAGTACAACTTGGCAGTTACAAAATAGTCACGGGGATATAAAGTACAGCGTAGGGAATATGGTCAGTTATATTGTAATAACCATGTATGGTGCCAGGTGGGAACTATACTAGACTTATCAGGGGGATCACTAGTTATATAAATGTCTAACCACTATGCTGTACACCTGAAGCTAATATAATATTGAATGTCAATTGTTATCAAAAATTGTTTTAAAATTTAAAAAATAAACAAATAGTTAAATTGTTCATTGAGTAATTTCTAGCAACGTATATTCAAGTAGAGATTTGGATCATGTGTTTTAAATAATAAAGTATGATTGCTTATGGCATACTTTGAATATAAATAATATGCTAAGGTCATATAATTTGTTTTCTAAAATAACTGTTCTTCTAATTTTATTTTCCAAATCCGGTTGGAATATCCTTTATTTAAAGTAGTACAATGTAAATTTTATCCCAACAAACATTACAAATTCTTTCATAGTGGAGTCCCAGTGTATAACGTATATATTATATTATCAGCATTTTACTAGCTGGATAAGCTTCACAGAATGCTGTAGTGTTAAACCTTATGAAATCTATTGAATTGAAGATACATGTAATTTATTAGAAACAGAAGTCTCTCAAATAATGATAGCCCCAATTTTACGCTTACTTCAATGTTTTATTCAAGCCTGTTTTGCATTGCTATTATTAATTTGGAAATATGAATTCTTTAGAGTTAGAAATTTGAAAGGACAGATAGTATTTCTAAAAGTCACCATCTTATGGTATATGAAAGACTTTTTAGGACAATAAAAGTGGACAGTGCAGGGAGTTGGTGGATGTGTGGCCTGTACAGCGGCGCTCCCTCCCTGTGAGTACGGTGGTTTTGAGGGACTAAGGGCCGGCCAGTGTGGTTAGGCAGTGGACAGCCAGGCAGAAACAGTGGCACGGGGTGAAGCCAGAACAATCAATGAGTGCAGTCATGCCAGATTTCCATATTTCCTGTAAGCCGTGTAAACGGCCATAGAAAGCATCTTGGCATTTAAAATATTTGAAGGGCTCTGTCTATGGCCACGCTACTCTGAACAAGCCCAATCCCGTCTGACCTCAGAAGCACAACAGGGTCGGACCTGGTTAGTACTTGGATGAGAGACCACCTAGGAAGACCAGGTGCTATAGGCTTAAAAAATAAAAATAATAAGGGATTGTAAGCTGACAAGGTCCTTGCAATCTGTGAGGTCAACCAAGGGTTCACCTAAAAATAAAATAAAATAAAAGTAAAATATTTGAAGGGTTTTAACAGAAAGGGCTGAGTTGAATTTTTAAAAGATAACTGTAGCTTGTAGCAACTGCATGAATGGGGTGCAGTGAGCCAAAAATGGAAGCTCAGTCGTAGCATCTGAGACATGGTAATTCCTTAGAGATGGAGAGCAGTGGCCAGAGTAGATAGCTAATTGAAGAAGTAAAAGTAGCAGGACTTGATGACGGATTGGTTATGGGGTTTAAGGGAAAAGGATGACTTTTCATTAAGGATGACTTAGGTTGGAGACACAGGTTCAATGCTCACTCAAGATTATGAATTGGATATGTTAAGTTGCAGAAACCAGGTGGGGAGCAGGATATATGGTTGAAGTTCATACCCTAACTGAGACTCCTTGGCACATAGATGGTAATTTCAGCCATGGTATAAACAAAATCTAGGGAGAGGCTACAGAAGAAAGGACTATCATCATTTAAAGCAGTGGTTCTTAACCAGGAGCAGTTATGCCCCAGGGGACATTGAACAATGTCTGGAGACACTTTCGGATGTCACACTTTGGGAAGGGAGATGCTACTGGCTTCTAGTGCATCGAGGCCAGGGATGCTGCCCAACATCCTCCAATACACAGGAAGACCCCACGACGAAAAATCATCAGGCCCCAAATGTCAGTAGTGCTGAGGCTGAGAAACCCTGGCTCAAAGGCTGCATAGAAGAAGACAAGCCAGCTGAAAAGTCCAAGAGCACCCAGGAGAGTGTGGCATGAGGAAGGGATGAGAGTAAAGTGTCAGTATCAAGTAGGATGAAGACTGAAAATGGTCATAGGCTTAAGGGTGGTGATTTTTGGTGACTGTAAGTTTCATGGGCTTAAGGGTGGTGATTTTTGGTGACCATAAGTTTCTGTGAAGTGGTGGGATCAGGAGCTTTTTAGATGGGACTGAATAGAATGGGAAAATGTAGACAGTAAGTGTAGACAACTCTACAGCAGAAGTAAGGTGATACCTGGAGGAAGGAATGGGATGGGGCTTTTCAGATATTTTAAAGATGAGGGACATTATTTTAAAATGCTGTTATTTCTGTCCGGTGGAGGCAGATAGGGAGGGAAGGATGGACTTTAGCCAGGAAGGGTAGCTTCTGTCGCAGCAGGAGGGGAAGGGAAGACGGATGAGAACCAAGCAGAACTGCCTGCAGTGTCTCCCTTTTCTCTGTCTGTCTCTCTGATACGTGTTTTTGTGGCTCAGGCCGGAGAGTCAGAAGCAGATTACTGATCCCAAACTGTGTACCTTTGAAGTCAGGGAAAGGTTTTGCTTTAGGATGTGTCGGGCCAGCCATGAAGGTTCTGGGTTCTGTGAACTATCACCATCAGTGTTAGGGAGACCACACTGGCCACGTTTCTGAAGAGCTACTCCCTAGAGCAGTTAATGAGAACTTTTACTTTGAATGAACAGTGCAGTTACTTTTATCCCTCCAGTTTTCTTGCATGTTCTTTGGAGCAGTTTCTTCTGAGCAGCAAGAACAAGTCAATAACCCTTTTGACAATCTGGCAATAGCAAGTGACAGTCAAGGAATGAATGGCGGTTTTTCCACATTCTAACACTTCATGATGGCTGAGTTGCCCCCTCGCCCCTGCCCCCCAGCCTGTTTACTCGCTTACTTACATCTCAAACACTGGAAAGATATTATCTTCGACTTCCCTCAAAATAGAGGATGGGCTTCTGCTTTTCTAATCACCTTGTACAACAGCCTTATCTAGAAATAGCTGCTTGTCAAGTGTATGCAATTTGCTTTAAATCCATTATGCTACTTGGGAGGCCCAAGAGTTTTTTTTGCAGGGCAGTCTCATTAGAATGCTTTAATTCAGTGCACATTCAGAGTTTTTATCATTTTCTTTTCCAGTTTTATAACGGTATTTAAATTTTCTTCAGCAGCCATTTGGAGTGCATCAATATTGCTGGTAGTTTTGTGACTAAAGTTAGGTATCTTTGGTATTTGATTGCAAACATTAGTTTTGGTGCTTTCAGATATAGTAAAAAGTTATGTGGTCTTTTCTCATGTAATGCCATGACTTTGTCCATTGCTTTTTATATTTTGTTAAGATTTTAAGTAAAATTAACCCCTGGGAAAAAAGGTCAAGAGTAAAATACATAGCTACCTCCCTCACTTTGGAGTCTTTTTATATATTGTAAAATTTTAATAGCCTTGATTTTCAGATGTGATTTTCTGCAGTTTACTGAAAAAAAGAATTTAATGGAAGTAATGCCAAAAATTATATATTATCTATATCCTATAGTAGTAATCTCCACTGTCAAGAGAGCCTGGGTTTGGAGTGGAATGAGGTGGAAGATGTCTGTTCTTTGCCCCGTTATTTAGCTTGTTACCTGCACAGACTGAAAAATCTGGCACAAAAACAGTTACGTAACGTCTTATGATGCATGCCTGTCCCTCCCCCAAACCTGTTTCTAGTCAGTTGTCACCTGACAAACTAGACTTTTGTAACATCTTATTGTCTTTGTAAAACCATCAAATCCCAAGGAAACGTTAACCAGAAGCAGTCGTCCTTGAGATTTTGTGAGGAATTCATAAACAGAGGTAGCTGAGATCAGTATACTTCAGAACTGTGAACAGACTTCTAACTAAAACCAGAATAAATTTGGCTCTTGTAGTTGAGTCAGATCTACCCACAATAATCTAATAAAAACTCAAGTTCATCCCAAAATGTTCCTCAGTGAATGAAAATGGGCTTTCACCAAGCTTTTTGTGGCAACTGGTAATGCCCACATAATTTCAAGAAGTCTTTTCACATGTAGGCTAAAGATTTACGTAGCTTATTCTTGCACTGATGATTAACACTGAATTTCACATATTCCTAACAAATGCAGATGACTACAGAGAGAACATTTATTTATGAGTGTAACTGTAGGTCTCCTTGGGGAGGATCGTTTTTGGTTCATTCAAATGGGGCGGTTAAGGTCACGAAGGCATCACCACCAGTAAGCATCTGGATGCAGCGCCAGTCTGTAAAGGATAGTGACACTGTCCAATTGTACTTAATTTGGATTTTAGAATTTGGATACAGAATGCTAAATTTGAATATCAGATTTTTTGGTTCTTCACTCCATACCACTTAGAACAGCAGTCCCCATCCTTTTTGGCACCAGGGACCAGTGCTCCCATAAAAAGCTAATGCCTGATGATCTGAGATGGAGCCGAGGCAGTGATGCTACTAGCACTGGAGAGCGGCTGCAAATACAGATGAAGTTTCGCTCACTCTCCTGCGCTCACCTAACAGGGCACAGGCCATTACCTGTCTGCGGCTGGGCGGTCGGGGGGTGGGGAGGGTTGGGGACCTCTGATTTAAAAGATGTAAAAGCCTTCTCAGCTAGGAAACCATCTGTATTTTACATTCAATTGTCAGTCCATTTTGATGATTTTTCGAGGAAGCTAAACTGATGTAGTAAACTAGCTGGTGAAAAAAGGGCCTAGGTGGATAAACGAGTCAAAGACAGAAAATAATAGCTTCAAAGTATGGAGTCAGTGCTAGACTAAGAGGCTCAGAAATAAGGACAGACACCAACAAACTATGTCAAGGGCTGGTGTCTTATTTAGTTACTATTCGAATTAAAAGGAATACACAGATTAGTATAAATACTATATTTATTAAATATCTTTACAGTTTATTTAAATGTATTTACAGAACTATTCCTGCATAAGTTATATTTCAGACATCCAATTCAGGTCATTGCCTCTTGAGTAAGACAAATAATGATAGTCTCAACAGAAAAAAGCAGCTCATTAGTATACACAAATTCAAATATGCTTCATTATTTAGCCATCT